CTGAAAGCTATATACGTCTTGGCTCTATTAATTAAGGGAATTAAAGATAACAAAAGATCAATTAACCAACGTTGTTCGCGCTTGCAATTCTAAAAGTAATGACTTCAATCGAATTCTCCTTAGATCTAAAGTTAAAATTCAATAAGATTACTTTCCTCATCTATTTCAAGTTCATCCGGTTCCACTTGAGAAGAGTTAGCACGAAGAATGTTGGAGATGCTCTCTGCAGCCTTGACTGGCACAGTACTCTTCTCAATAACGACCTTAGGTCGGCTAGAACACTGTCCTATTTGACGAGCCACTTCTTCTAGCATGGTAGTATCAGTAGCACGACCCTAAAGAGGAATAATGAATAAAGATAATGAAAAGATATAAGTTAATGGAAGAACCACAAAATAAGACTACCGATAATTAGGACTGGTGTAGAGGCTTGGCCTGAAGTAACTAATATGAGAAAAATTTAAAGATAGTTAAAACGTTCGAAGTAGGATAATACAACAGCCTTTATTACTAGAAGCACATTGAAGAATTTCACACGTTTGTGATAAAAAACACAATTCCCGCTAGGGGTGATGACGAGACCCATGCGATATCGAAACTGCAATCCATTCGGAACATGAATGTCTTTTGAGGAAGCAAAACTAGGTGAAATTTAACGGAAACGTAAGGCCTAGTCATATCATTGTGAAGAAATTCAACTATAAGTGCCCTTATCACTTTAAATGAAACAGTGAATGCACCTCATATATATGGTATACTGGTAGTCTCGAAGACCTATGCCCTAGTCTCTTGTATGCCAACCCACAAACGTTATGAATTAAAATTGAACCTAATCAAAGCAAGCAGCACCACAACATTTGTGGGTTGGCAAACAAGAGACTAGGGTATAGAAAGTCATAGACTTAGTATTACGGATAGAAACAGAATAGACACGGCGAAGACTGGAGCTAGTTGGATGACAATAGGTCTGTCTTTACAATAGACGTGATCCATGTAGCAAAGGCTTAACTATGAGACTTATTCATAGGCTTTAGCCTCGAATTAGTTACCCAGACGTATGGGAGGGGTAATAACGCCTCGAGTAGTACAGATGGGGTGGCAGTAGTCGAGTAAAATACGTGAGCCAGGGATATAGCAGACGGATTTTACGGGGCAAGAGAGAGACTGTGATAATACCTAGGGAAAGAGGATTGCGTAACAATATGGCAGACTCCGATCAACATTCCCAGCCCAAGGGTAAAAGGGATGAGAACGACAGCGTGGAGTAAAGGGTTGCATGAATTCCGCTCAAATGAGCACACCACATTGCACGGTAACAATTGTAACAGTGAAGGCGTGATAGGAGGATGTAGGAAAGGTGAATAACCTATGGCATAAAGAGAGATACCACAACTGTTTAGAACACGTTTGCTTAAGGGATTGTCTTCATTTGTCTTCTTGACGAGTTGTTGTGTGATGCAAAAAATGGCGAGACTCACTGATGATGCCGGCGAAACGTATGGGAATGTACCACGTTCACGGTCTGACTTTGGAAAGGATCATTCATACAATGGACTCCTGACTAAGTGCGTTCTTCTAAGTCTTCCTACCAATATGACGAAGTTACAAAAACAGGGTGAAACAACCTCAACAAAATATTAAATTGATTTAAACTTTGAAACATCGGTTAAATTTTACATAACATAAAAAGCGTTTAAATTTTAACAATTAAAAAAGCGAGTTGATAAAATATCCTCACCCTGCCAATGCCATATGATTTGGTCGGCGTATTGACGCATATGAATATAAGCTCAGCTTCTTCAATAGCCTTTGCTATTTCCGTAGAAAATTTAAGGTTTTTCCCTCTACACTGGACGACAATTTCGTGCAAATTTGGCTGTTGGAGTAAATGATCAAGCAAAATGCCACAGCGTTTATCAGTTTGCCAAATTAGTTAATTGTATTATAAAGTCTTTCTACTGTATCAATAAATTTTTACATGGTAAATAAGGCTACAGAAAGAACAATGATATGTGTTAAAAAACATATAAGAGAAAGAACACATTAAGGCCGCATAATTTACCCTTAAATTATCAACTTGCTTAGTTCTCTAACTTTTTGTTTTTAAATAGCCTGATCAATAAAGCCGGTAAAATATAGGCAAGCTTTCCAAGAGTTATTCAAAAACAAGAATTGAATGTAAGGGTAAGATGAATTAAACTTAACATGTTCATAAAAAAGTCAGCAAGAATTCTTAAATCTAAAGATACTTGTAGATATTCTATATTTTTACGAATAGTAACAAACAAATAATATTTTAAAATTTCATTTAAACTGCACCGCCTTTGAAAATGCAAGAGATACAAGTTGTAAAAAAGTCGTTAATATAAAGTAAAATTCCTATATTTAGAAATGTTATATAAGTTGGAAATCGTCAAGATGATAAAAATGTGAAGTATATTTATTTTTTAAACTAGAACACCTCGAAAATGGGAAGGTTGTCAGAGTTCCATTCGTCTATTCGCGTGGCATCTTGGTCAACAACATGAACTTGAACATTAGGGCACTTATAAGCAATCACAGCTGATGTAGGCCCACCGACGTACCCCGCCCCTATGCAACAAACCTTCGAGATTGGGACCAGGGGAGGGAGCGACATTACACCAACGTAGCAGATCCCACTGTCCAGTCTAATCAATGACAAGTCCGACAATCGAAAAGTTACAGTAACTGAAAAATTAAAAAAAGTAAACGCTGTGTTGTTTAAGCTTAGACTTTATTAAATACCTTATTCATTAAATTTTAAAATATTTGAATAAATCTTGTTTTGTTTCTTATTTTAGCAAGCGGGTGAATTT